ACTTTCAGCCAGTAAATGTGAGCTCTCTCCAGGTGCTGGTAGCACTCTGGAGGTGTTGCAACCTGAGTGAACTTGCTTAAATCACCCCCACCGTTCTAATGCCCTGGAGAGCTCTTGCCCCCATCTCCCTGTAATTACATGCAGTCCCTGGGCCAGTTACACATAAACTTAATTCAGTAACATTTGCTCAGAATATTGCTCTATATGTTACACTGAGTGCAGCTATTTCAACAGACCCATTAAACAGGGTGGATTAGTCAAGCCCACCAGCTCAGTACTGTTAGTGGATTGAGGTGCACGAACTCAGCCAAACAGTGGGTTCTTATTTAATAGGAAAAGTGAGACAGTGTAAAGACAGTGCACTTCAAAGGGGCTTTGCAATGCGGAGTTGGGGATCACCTGGGCACTCCAGCTGATCCCCAAGGCCGCTTGCACTGCCCCTTGGCAGTGCAGCATTAATGCCTGCAATTAACAGGTTAATTTTTTTACCTTTTAATCCTGTCCTGCGTTAATCACAGGTGTTAATGCAGGTCAATTGACAGCCCTACAAATTATCATAAGAACATAAGAATGGCCATACTGGGTCAGACCAAAGGTCTATCCAGCCCAGGATCCTGTCTGCCGACAGTGGCCAATGCCAGGTGCCCCAGAGGGAGTGAACCTAACAGGGAATCATCAAGTGATCTCTCTCCTGCCATCCATCTCCACCCTCTGACACACAGAGGCCAGGGACACCATTCCTTACCCATCCTGGTTAATAGCTATTGATGAACTTAATCTCCATGAATTTATCTAGCTGTCTTTTGAACCCTGTTATAGTCCTAGCCTTTTCAACCGTCTCAGGCAAGGAGTTCCACAGGTTGACTGTGCTGTGTGAAGAACTTCCTTTTATTTGTTTTAAACCTGCTGCCCATTAACTTCATTTGGTGGCCCCTCGTTCTTATATTATGGGAGCAAGTAAATAACTTTTCCTTATTCACTTTCTCCACACCACTCATGATTTTATAGACCTCTAGCATATCCCCCCTTAGTCTCCTCTTTTCTAAACTGAAAAGTCGTAGTCTCTTTAATCTCTCTTCATATAGAACCAGAGGACTTGACTTGGAGAAGAGGACCAACATCAGTTTGTACTATTATAACATTTCTGGCATTGTTTCACTTTGCACTCGTCTGGGTAGAATAGAGAATGAGGTTGAAAGATTATAAATGTAGGAGAAATTGTTTTGAAAGCAGAGATTTTTATGCATATCTGGGGCAGCTATTAAGCCAGATTGTACTGGGATTCAGTTGATAACCACACATCACAAAGTATTGGATACCTGTTATCAAATGACCCTTGGTAATCTTCCTGGTGCTTCCTAGTGGACATGGTTACACTCCAAGAAATGAAGAATTAATCTCTTATCTGGGATGAGTTCATTTTTGCAACAATTAATGCTTTCTTGCTGATGTTTACAGTATTTGCAATGTGCAAATTGCAAATGTGCTAAAACTTACAAAATAATTATAACAAAATTCAGATGGACAAGGATGTTAAAAATCTATATATTTGAGTTTGTGCATGAGTCTGTCTGTTCTTCCTAAACAATAAGAGCTAGGATCACTAAATTCAGTACATAGCTTCTCTTATCATAAGTTAAAGCAAGGTAAGGACTTGGATGTGCCTGGAGTGGGACTGATGGTCAGAAAATTATACAGAAGAGACAGATTCACCAGGCAGGTGAAAGGGGCTGGCTGGGGGTGCAGTTGCTGTCTGGGACCACCCTAGCCCCAGGTATCCCATGTGCCCTTTGAGGAGTATGCAGGAGAACTGCAGCTCCCCCCCCCCCCATTAGTACAGGAATGCATAAAACTGTACAGAATCACCAGGCAGGTGAAAGTGGCTGGCTGGCCGTCCGGGACAGCCTCAGCTCCAAGACTCCCACCCCAAGGTGCCATTGAGGGAGGGCAGGAGGAGGGGAGCCTGAAGCTCCACACACATTGCTGGCTGTTCTCCCAGGGGAAAATGCAGTTTTCTGCATTCCTCACTCTGGCTGGGGAGTGCAGAGGGTGGACGAATCTGAACCTGCCACACCCGGAGGACATGCACCTTTTCCCCGGCTGTGCCTGCTGGAGCTCCAGGGCCATGGAGCGGCACTTCTCACCTGGTCCCAAGCTGCTGCGTTGAGAGAGAAGGATGGGGTTGTCCTCTGTCCCCGGAGCAACCTGCACCCTGAACCCATCATCCCCCACCTCACCATTTTATTTTCCAAAAAACAAAAATGAATTAGTTAAGGACCTGAGCAACAATGGGAAAATCTTCTAGTAAATAAATAAAAAGGACTAAACAGAGTACTTGAAAGTGCTGCTGCAGGAGCTGTCCTGCACTTACCTCCCACAAGATAGGTTACATACCTTGATGGGTCTTTACCTCTCTCACGTGTATGGCTTCTATCCAAAACTTGGCATTCACCTATAGAAACCACCACTAGCTTCATCAAGAGTTTGCCCTAATTAGGAGTTCTGTGATTGCAACAATGGCCTCACTTCTGTGTGCTTTGAGTTTTAACATCAGAGACCACAGTTAATGCATAACACAACCCAGCCTCTCCGTGCGGTTCATATTAGGTATGTAAGCAACCAGTCAAGTACAGGCAGTCCCCAGGTTACGTACAAGATAGGGACTGTAGGTTTGTTCTTAAGTTGAATCTGTATGTAAGTCTGAACTGGTGTCCAGATTCAGCCGCTGCTGAAACTGACCAGCAGCGGCTGAATCAGGACGCCTGGGGCAGAGCAGCTGGGGTGCTGCCGGGTTGGTCTAGTAGTGCCCAGAGCGGCGCTGCGGGACCAACCAGCAGCGCCGCAGCTGCTCTGCCCCAGGGTCCACAACAAAAGCCTGGTCTGCTGGGGGGGGAGGCGCAGCTAGTGTGCCCCCCCCCCCCCCCCCGCCCCGGCACA